GTTACTTTTTGTTAGAGGAAGGCATTCTGGCAGGCAAGGTAACTTTTAAATACAAAACTCTTGAAGAGCTGGTAAAACAAGAGGTGAACGTAACGTCTAAAGTTGACATGATCTCTGATAAATGATTTTAAGCACAGGGTTGTAACCGACTACTCTGCTTATGCAAAGCAACCAGGAATCTTGGAGCATGTCTTGTCTTTTTGAGCTGAAGGAGCCTAGGATGGCAGCTGATGGCAACCTAGCTTGATTTGAAAGGGAATCTGGTACAGAAGTTCAATACAACGGACTAACTTACTTTGAATAAATATGAGTGCACATCGATCCAGCATGGTCTTAGACCAGATTCCACCATTTTTTAGTCTGGTCTTCGTGCTGCAAGCTTCTGTACAGTTATGGGTTCGATTCAGTTTCTGATCCCTTGCTCCAGATTGCGTAGCAGCTGTACCTGGCCTTTAAGCTTCTCTTTCACAACACGGGTTTTCCTAGTGTGTTCTGCCTCCTCTTAAGGTTTTATTAATCTGTTTCTTACTGAAGTCTTCCAAGAAAAACCCTTAGGGCCTTATTCCCATGAGACTGAATGTTTAGGGTCTGCTAAAAAAAATTCCCTGCTTGACAATACTTCCATTTATTTTAAAGGAAATCAACTGAGACTTATTCCAAGACCCGTTCTTCACTATTGTTCCAAGGTCATAGTTGTGCACAACTCTCTAGTATCTGTTTACTAAAAGGGTTTCTAATACAATCATCTGTTTAGTTAGATCTTATATACTTTGTTCCCGAAGGGATCAAAGAATTGACACAAGGCTTTCCCTTGCGTCAGGGCCAGAAATATTATCCTCCTCCTCTCAGACAAAGCTTGTACATGTCTGTTCAGAGAGCCAAAGGGAAAGGATCTCAAATCCTTCCATCTCCAAATGTGGCTTCTGAAAGACATACACATGTAATCTTCTGATTAGGTGACACCCAGATTTGGCTACCAATCCCTGTTGGAAGAAAATACTATCATCATTTGGTTATGATGGGAGCAAATTACAACAGACATGGATGCATCAAAATTTCACATGGGTTACCACGTGCTGCATTTACAGAGATCTTACCCTCTTCTCAGAAAACTGGCACATGCTAATGCAATCCAAACCACAGTCTTCTATCTCCTGTTCATAAAATGGATATAGTACTGTATTTACACTGTGGGGGTTGGAGGCAGGGGACTAGAAGAGAGCAAATAAATGTGTTGTCCAGAAGCAATAAAGAAGGGAACAATCCATGCTGGATTTACTAGTTGAAATTGGAAAAGATAAATTTGACCACTTCTTGAATTTGTCTGTCCTAAATAAAATCTTTCTGGTTTTTACCCTAAAACTACACTTCTTGGTTGACCAATAGCAAATGGGAGGGTGGGGGGGATCTAAAAACAAAATAAAAAAAGGAAGAATGCAGTCGTTAGGATTCCTCATCAGCTTTATAGCATCCGTTTCATTGCCGCCTTACATGCTGGATTTGGAGAATAACTCAGCATCTGAAACCCTCCCTGTTTGAGAACTACTCTAAAAGCTATCTTTTTAGATGGCATTTATAAACTCTATGGCTTTCTTGAACACCTCTTGTTGGAGGAATGTCAATACATCTAGTATGTCTGAGTTTGTATTCTCTTGTAAGAATTAATAAACAAACTTGAGGATTTCAAGAAAGAAAGAAAAAAATCTGTTGGCTTCGGTCATTTTATCTGTCCTTTCTTAGTGAAGGATTGATCTCCATTAATGCAATGCCTTGGACTGCAACTTAACTGCTGACTGAAGCAATAGGACTATTGCCACATTTCATTGGGACTTCATTACATAAACAGAACTTGCTCATTTGAAATTAAGAGGAATATAATATTTTTAAATACTAGTAGGATTTTTGGTGGATTGTTTTTCTTTTGTTAATTAAATGAAAAATCTGTTGGGTAATGGTCAGTCCTGGAGAAGAAAATAGGATTTGAACAAAAACATAAAAGAAATATCACATTTGATATAAAGATCTTAGCAAGATTTAAATTGAAATGGAGTCCCCATGTCGAGATTTTTATGTACTGTTTCTAGCAGGTTTTCAGCAAGAAGTTCATCTAGAACAGCATAAAAATGGAAATGATGCTTTTCAGTAATATTTTCCTGAAGTGGTTGATTAGCTTTCTTCCCCCTTCTGTCTAGGACTACAATGATGAAATCAGACAGGCACAGCTGCAAGAGTTAACGTACTTAAATGGCGGCTCAGAAAATGCAGAAGTTCCAGTTGTTCGTGGAAAACCACCAATACGAGCGCGAGGAGTACCCGCCCCTGCCTTGGCCAGGTAGGCACCTCCAAGCAAAACGATGCATTTTGAACATGTATATTTTGGGGCTCAGCCTTTAATATTAGATTTTCTCCAAAAATATTCTGATTAATGCTTGCACACTTATCGCCATTGTTAATACAGCCCAATATGTATGACATGTTTTATGAACTCATCACTAAGATTGGATGAAATCTATCTTGAGAAAAGATAACTGTACAGTGCAAAGTGTGACGTGTAGGATTCTCAAATACTCTCGAAGTCTAGCTTTGCTTTAGGTCAGGGGTAGGCAACCCCCAGTACACGTGCCCGAGCATGGCGCACAAAGGCATTTTGCTTGGCACAAGCACCTCAGGGCAGGCAGGGGAGCTGCCAGGGACCCGATCCTTGTTGTGGCAGTGTAGCCCTGACCCCTTCCCTGCCATCCAGCTGGAGGCACATGTGCACCCGCTGCTGGCAACAAGTTGGTCTGGGGCTCTATGGATCCTGGCGCAGTTGCTTTCAGCCTCCCCACTGCCTGCTGTGAGCAGCTTGGGCTCCATGGCAGGCAGCAGGTAGGCTGTAAGCAGCCGCACTGGGGTCTGCGGAGCCCTAACCTGGCTCACAGCGGGTGGAAGGTGCGTGTGTGCCCGGGGGAGGATGGTGGGGAAGGGGCTGCGCTGCCACAACAAGGATCAGGCCTGCCCTGCTGTCTGCTTCTGGCACACCAACATCTTACAAGTCTAAGTTGCAGGTGTGTTGGCATTTTGCACTGCCCAATAACATTGCCGACCCATTTTAGGTTTTATATGCTGACTCAATAGAAAATGCTACCAAATACAATAGTTTTGTGAGCAATTATCTAATGATTAAGCTCTTAGATATGAATAATGTATTTTGCCTTATTTCTACAAATGAATAAATTCCTTGGGACAGAAAAATTAAAGTGCTCCATTGTCACACAGAAGCTTATTAGGAAAACTCATTGGTACCTAGGCCTCCTTATTTCTAGTCTCCTTCAGATCCTAAGTGCACACTGGCTCCTCACCTTACTTCTTAAAGTTCTTTACAAACAGGGCTAACTTACTTGAGTAACTTCATTCTCATATCTTCATTCTCGCATTGTTATTTAGTACTTACATATTTCAGTTGCTGTTTATTAGCATTATGAAACTCATTGTGTCGAGAAACGAGTAGTAGTACAGTTATTTTCTCTTGGTTGAGATTTGAATATAGAGTGTATTCTTAAACAGGCATTTGTAATGTACTGTGTTTAATTTCCATGTTGTCTGATGACTTGATGTGCTAAAAATGTAAGGCTCCACAGGCATTTTTGAGCTGGCACTTGGTCTTGGACTCATCCCACAACTAAACTGTTAAATCAGAAAAAAGTGTAAACAAGTATTTTTGCTGGAAGGAAGAGCTAGATATGTCTCCTCTTTCCACTATTATGAGAAGTTTTATCCTTCATATTATGCTTCTGCACACCCTTTTTTTGAAGTGTAAGGGTGACAGCTTTAAGTCTTTTGAGTCCTTGAGTATAAAGAAGAAAAAAATCAGGATATTTGCATTAGACAGATCTTATATGCTAGATGGAAACTGCTGCTGCTTTCCAAAATAAACCACTTTGATTTCAGTAGACTTTGTTTTCAAAGAACTTTTCTTCTACAATAAAAATTGAAGTCCTGTCTCAGTTGAAAAGACGATGACTTGGGGATTAGTGAAAGGTATAGGTACCAAGGGTACAGGTTATAGTATCGTATAGATAAGAGTATAGGTACCAAGAGTAAAGTGTTGAATAGCACAGAAGATTTTTTTTTATTAGTACCACTTAAATTACAGTGACCCATTAACACTTTGGCTGAAGGAAAGCTTTTAAAGTTATACCTTGTATAGATAAGAGTATGTTTGAACAAACATCATACATCTGAGACCTTCCAGAGGTGTTCTAGCAAAAACTGGAAAACCATCTATCTGACTCTTTCAGGTTTTAGTCCATGACAAAAAATGGCTCTTTCTTCCAGCTTGTTCCCCAGCTCTGTCCTCCACCCTTTACCCCTATCTCTGCACTTCATATCTCCTACAGTACCTTCTCAGTAGTCATTCAAGTTGCCAAACATTACTTTGTCTTAAAAGGTAAGTTCCTAGTGTATGGGGTTTTTTGGACTAACTAGTGCTTCATTAAACTTGCACTGACTTCTTTGGTTTGCTTCTAGTTCTGTTTTACCCCTTTTTTTTTCCTTGTTTATGCAGAAAACTTATTGCTTCTGAAGGAAAAAGAGTATTAAATGGAGCTTATGTGATCATAAAAGACAGTCTCTCTTAGCTTTAGCTTTTTAAATATTCACTTTTTCTTGTTGACCTTGGGTCTGGTGCTGCTTTGTTCTTGCTCTTTTGGTTTTTGTTCCTTCCTTACAATGCAGAGAAAGAGAGTGACTTTCCAGTCAAAGCAGTAGCTCTGCTTCAGAGTGGTGGGAATTACTGTGAACATCTTGCCTTTCAGATGTTATCCACCATTCTGAGGGTGCATCCCTAGGAACAGGACACAGGGACTCTCTGCCATAAGGTGTTTCTACTTCCATGTTGTGGAAGGGGAAAATAGGAACTATTCATCTTGGGCGTTCTCTTTAAATAGCTTCTTAAGGCTAGATGTGTAACATACACATTTGCAGCAGTCCCATTCTACCTGGTCGTGCCCGCTCCAGTCCTACACTTCCCATGAAGCTCCTTCAGCTTCCTCCTATGATTTATAGATTCATAGATGTTAGGGTCAGAAGGGACCTCAATAGATCGAGTCCGACCCCCTGCATAGGCAGGAA